GGGACCAGAGCTCCTTGGAGAAATGGCTGACTCCAGGACTAAGGAAAGGAAAATTGCAGGACCAGGGAAAGGACCGTTGCAGCTGAACCAGAGGGCACACCGTCCACATCGCTGCAACGGTCCTGGCTCAGTCTGACAAAGTAAGAATGTGGAACCACATACACACGGATATGATCTCTGCTTAGATTTCCAACAGGGTCAGTCTCGGACAAGTTTCTAAACTGTGCTATGTAACTAGACACAACTGAGAAACTCTCCCTGCTTTCTCCCTGCGACGTCAAATCCCCTTCTGTGTCTGAGCACTCTTCTATAACCTTCTGACCACTCTCATCCTGGCGGTCCCACCCACGGGCTGGTTTTTACAGCGAACCACCTCTATGAGCATCTTCTAAAATTAAACAGAAAGCCACCAGCCCGCTCCTCAGCCAGGCTTGAACGCAGCGAGTGCCTCACCGTCCTCCTCTGAGTGTGAGCGCACCGGCAGGAAGTGAGACTCACAGTGTCGAGAAGTCTCCTCTTCTGGCTTGTTTCTTCGGGTGACAGTGTCAGGTTGGAGAGGAGAGGCCTGTCCCCTCACCTGGCTGCCCACACGCCTCGCTTCCACACCCTCACATCTTCCCTCACTTCTTTAGATACTGCTCGAAAGGACCAAAAATTCATTAGTAGCTGTTTATTGATCAATGGTTTGATATAAAGTCATTTCAGATCTTCAGAATTTTGCCCAAACAGAATCACAAGCATTACAAAGTTTTGTTTTGTTTTTTCCTTAAAAAAAAAAAAAGGGTAGGAGGTAGGTTGGGAGGGGACCTACCTAGCAGTAGTGGCATCTGAGAATAAATTAACAAAAAAAATTTAGTATTACCATTTATTGGTGACAAACACTATGTTTTACTTACATTCCATGGGGAGATAAAATTCCAGCGTAAACAATGAATCGAACAAAAGCAGTACTTAACTCGCAAGACTACGGTGCTTTTCATCTGGACCATATGCAGGACCTTACCGCACACGCTTCTGTGCGCAGTAACACAACATCAAAAGCAACAGTTTCGGAGCTCAACACAGGCCACTCTCTGCCGCCCTACATGGAGATGCAACAGCGGTACAAAGCACTCCAGGAAAATCCATCTGCGGATTTAGACGTACTACACGGAGACCATATCCTGTAGTGTGAAAGCCACGTGTCCTCAAGAGCCGTATATATAGACACACAATTTTTTTTTAATAATCTTTAAAACAAAGACCAAAATTCATTTAAGTCCTGTTGCATTAACAAAAATAAAACAGAAAAGGAAACAAATGATCATTAAAGTTTAAAACTCCTAAACTGTCCAATTTATACAACCATGGGAGACTTCATCCAGGATGCTGACAAGTCCAGGACCGTTGCAGCTGAACCAGAGGGCACACCGTCCACATCGCTGCAACGGTCCTGGCTCAGTCTGACAAAGTAAGAATGTGGAACCACATACACATGGATATGATCTCTGCTGATTAGATTTCCAGTAGGGTCAGTCTCGGACAAGTTTCTAAACTGTGCTATGTAACTAGATACAATTGAGAAACTCTCAAATGAAAATTTATATAGTGTCATTTCAATCAAAAGAAAATAAGAAAACTAAGAGTACGTATCTGTTGGAAGAGAAAGCAGTGGGGACGGTGTGGGCACCACGGAGGTGGGGCCATAGCACACTAGAATGGTTGGTGCCGAGTAGGAAGCATTTGATTTTCTCTGGTGCTTTCGGCTCTGGGGCTGGTCTAAGGCCCCTGTCCCCAGCGTGGGTGTCCAGGGTTTGTCCCAAGCGTCTGCGTGAGCAAGTCTGAGAAAGGTTGCGCGCGCTCTCTCCTGTGTCCTTAACACGGCCCAAAGGGTGACGACAGCCGAGCACCGAGGTGCCAGGGGCCGGGGCCTGCTGGTTTCCCGGTCAAGCCAGGGCCGCTTGGCAGGCCTCGCAGCACCCCTCAGCAAGCAGCTGCCTGCGTGTGGCACAAAACACCGCGCACGCGCAGCCACGCTGCCTCCTTGCGTCCCCGCCTTCGTCACCACTGCCGCCTCTGCTTCTTTACCCAGCACGTGTCTCAGCCCACTGGAGGTATCAGAAATTCCAAATTCTCAAAGCAGTTTCAGTATTTTCAGTATATATGTTGGGGTTTTAACAACGGTTCGTGGCCAGAAAAGGTTCAGCACCTTCCACACCTTCAAGGAAAAAGAAAAATGAAAAAATGATGCCAGTTTTGAAATTTAAGGGAATAAAGCCCATGTTACAGATGAAATTAGCCGACATTGAAGTCCAATAGCACAGGTCCCAGTTTTGATAATGGGGTTCAAGTTTTGTCAGGATGTCACCGCCAAGTGAAAAAACACTAAGGAGAATGCATGTGTAGTATGGTAGCTCTGGGACAGAAAAAATAATGAAGCAGCACAGGATGATATTTGCATAAAGAAACACATATGAAAGATACATAAATTAATACAAATGCGACCTCTGACTCTTTAACGAGAGAACAAATGGGAGGCTGCTGGAGGGGAGGTGGATGAGGGATGGGCTAGATGGGTGACGGGCATTAAGGAGGGTGCTTGTTCTGATGAGCACTGGGTGTTGTATGTAAGTGATGAATCACTGAATTCTACTCCTGAAAGGAATATCACACTGTATGTTATAAATAAAATCTTGGAAGAAAAAAAAAAAGATCTCTGGGTGGGAGGGGAGGGAGGATGAGGTGGGTGGGGACTGCGAGGAGGGCAAGACTGATCACTGTGCACCTTTGAAAATAATTTTGATTTTTGAACCACGTGAATGTATTACCTATTCAAAATTTTAAAAAACTGCACGCTCTGCCCACTACTTAGAAACCCCTCGGGAGAAAGAAAGGGACAGAAAAGGGACTGAGGTGAGTTTCACTACGGAGTTGAGCTGACGGTCTGAATTGAATGCAAATGACGAAAAGAGCTGCCTTTCTGTAAACGGGCTCACTCACACAGACACTGGGCCATTTCCTGTTCTTGGCATCTCTGTACTTTGTTGGTCCAACTCAGACAGCAACTTTAAAATGTTCAGTGCGGCCTGGCAGGGACGAAAGGGAGAGTCAAGGTGCGGCTACTGCCCGTGAGGGTCCAAACAGGGAGCCCCCCAAATCACACTTTCCCTTAACATTTGAATTTTTAACTTAAAATACAAATTAAAAAATAAATGATCCATGTTTACCTCACTGAATCACAACCTCTGTTAATTTTATTAGATTTTCTTTCAGTGTTTTTAACCTTGTGGTAACCAGACTACAAATTCTGTATCCTGCTTTAAAACAAAAACCTATCACGTTTCCTTCTTTGACATTAATCTGACCGGTGCCTTACACTCCATCAGGTGGATATACCACAGTTTACTCCGATTAATCAATGCCATTTCTCAGTTTTAGTATTTCTCGGAACAGGAGTTTCACCTGAACAGCAGACCACAATAAGGGGCTTTCTACAGCTGCCCGAACTTGGGCCTGGCTGGGGTTCTGTGTTCTGGAAGGAGACGAACGGATACAGCATGTAGAGGCAGGCGTTCCAGGATCCAAGTCCACCCCCCAGGTCAGCACAGGCAAGGGAAGGGGAAGGGGTATCTAAACCTGATGAACTCTGATGAACAGGATGAGAAATCAATCCAATAAACTAAGGAAGAGGGCTTCAAAAGACGAAATCTATAAAACAACCAAAGGCTATGGGAGAGCCCTTTTCCTATCTTCCCCAGGCCGGCAACAGGCAGGAGCCAGGACCACTGGGTAACATACCATGTCATGGCAGGATTCCACATCCTTTCCAATCCCGTGGCTGATCAGAGGTGGCTGAGAGGAGCAATTGATAAGAGATACAAATTCGTTCTTGTTGTTTTTGGGGAAGTCTTTGTATTCCACCTGAGGGGAGAAGAAAACTGAGGCCAGGTAGGGAAGCGGCAAATACAAACGGGGCCCAGCAAACAGGCAGAGGACACCTCTTTCTCCCTGCCCTCAACCTGAGGAGGCTCCACCAACTCCCACTCAGTCGGCAAGAGGCCGTCGGGGGGGCCTGCTGCCGGGGGCACCAAGGGCCACAAGCACCAGGGCCCTAGCTTCCGAAATCTTCCAGGAACCCAGACGTCTGCCCAGAGACCCCAGTCTGAAAAAAGCCGTGCCCTTTTCTACTAGGCAGAAAGGGCCAGCACAATGAATCCGTGCTTGCTAGAACCACCACGAATATTAGCAGCTTTGTTGTTATGGTTGGCTTGGATTTTTTACAATTTTATTACCAAAGGACAAGGTTACTCTACACCGTACAGGCCCGTGGGACTTTCCTTACCTCCCCGACCTTCTCAGGACCACCCAGGTACCATGTGCCCTCCACCACCCCTTCCCCTATATAAAGACCTTGATTTAATAAACAAGGTACGAGGCTCATTTCCTGAGAGAAACCCCCCAAAAAAGAGGACGACACTGGTGTCTAGACCACACAGCTCAGGTCTAACAGTTACCTGGAATCCCTGGACTCTGGAAAGATAGTCCAACTGCTCAGAGGGTCTTGTGAGAGGTCCATGGGGTACGTGGCCTGAAGAGATGTTATTCTTTAAAATGGTCTCGGCTGTGGGCGAGGTGCCCCCATATAACAATTCACGGGCTATCATGGCAGTTACCGTGGCCTTGGCAGGATTCGGAGCTGCCCTGGTGAAATCTTTGGTGTGGTGTCCTTGACTGACTCCTACGGCCTGGGCAACCTCGGGCACCATGGGAAGAATCCCAGCGGGCAGCTGCTGATGGCTAAGATAAGGCATCCTAAACTCATCCTCTTTATTGCCTAGGGAGGGACATGCAGACGGGTCAACACAAGGCCACACACGCCGCCGGGAAAACACTTTCCAACCCGCTGGCCCTCCCTCGGTGCACACAGCGGCACGGGGATGACACAAAGCTCAACACTGCTCGTCATTCCGGGAGCTACACAAATCCCAGAATCAAGTTCAGATCAGGACAATATTAACAACACACTTACTAGTCCCATTTTCATCCCCAGAGCCAGGTTCAAAAAAGGTTACTTTTCTTCCATCCCCTGGTTTTTTTACTGGTGTCTT